AACCAGTTTTTCTTCTGGTTGTCCTTATAAGCTGCTAGCCCCATAACTGTGGGTATCTTGTCTTCTTTAAGATTCCATGATGCTATTTGATCAGTCAAAGCCAGGCGGCGACTGTTACAACTGTCTGGTGTTGTTGTGGTGCCATGAATGGGAAAAATTCAAGCTTAACTATAAATCAAAACTCACGATGCAGGTCTCTACAGCGGACCGTGTGCATCAAATATAAGGTGAGTTCAGTCCACCTTCAGCCCTTTGAGTAAAAACACAGCTGATACCGAGGTCTCTGGCAACAAAAAAAAGCCAGATCATCCTGTAGAAAAGTTTAACTAAACTCAGCTTTTGCCTCGACACAAAGTCGAATATTTCAAGACGCACATTCCTGATCAATTACTTGTCAACACGAATGAGATTTCTAATGTTCTTTTTAAAAAGTTGCTGCCGTGAAAATTTTCAGGAGTTGTAAAATGTTATTTATAAAGCTCTGTGCAAACCTTAGTCTCAAGTCTTAGGCCTAAAGTCGTTAACCCGTCATGAAGAGTCGAGTATAAATCCACCTTAAGTCGTTTTCTGTTTTAAAGCATCTCTGATAAATCTCACCTCAGTGTGGCTGTTCTAAGTTTGTTTCTAAATGTGACACTGATCTTCTCAAAGCAAAACGTGTGAGATGTCAGATTATTTTTTTACAGAAACTGTTTTGTGATGACTTTTGTCTGTTATTTTAACGTAACTGAGAATCCCCACTGGAGGCGAGTTGTAAGTGAGACATGAGTGGCGTGTTAGTGTTCTGTCATCCGATCCACAGTGTTGTTATGTATTTATCCATTGACTTTATTTCCCTGTCCTGTAGCGAGTGAGGGGAATCTGAAACAGACAAACTCACAGACACACCAGGAGCCTTGATTAATAAACATAGATATAATTGATAAGTTCAAAACACATACACAGCAGGATGTTTTGGACAAGAGGGTGGAGCTGTGGAGGAGCAGCGTGTCCATAGAACATGATGAAGACATTTAATGAATGGCAGAATGAAACAAATTAATAAAGTGAAAAGAAGTCTCCGCCCACATGTCGGGATGTATTTAGTGGCCGCACAGACCACCGTTGTCTACAACACTGCCTCCACTCAAAGGTACAATATTACGACCTCCTCCACCTTCACCTTGTTTGTTGTCACGAGCTTTTGACTCTGCCCTCTAGCATTATCTATTGGCTGTGTCTATGCCATTGTAAAGGACACATGGAAGTATGAGGACAATGACGTTTACGTTTGAAATCAACACATCTATTTCTGAACATTAAGGCCATATAAATGAGTCCTTATGGTACATGTCTAAAGGATCTGCCATTTCCACCCTTCCCATTCATTATTTATCAGCTGTGCAATGCATTCTGGAAGCTCTACATTGCATTTCAAGAAATGGGGTGTCCACTCCTCATTTGCATAAAGTTGAATCTAGGCTACTTAATGCAAATCTGTTGCGTCAGGCACAACTTGCCGCCTTTGGAAACTCCCAAAAAACGTTTAAACTAAAATGAAGACAGATTCAGTGACTGCATGGCTCATTTTTCGCCTCAGATGTTTTCAGAGAAACATTTTGGTCGACCTTTTCTCATAATACAAGAGAAAGTTTCCAAGTGAATCTGGAGCACACAGCTCACATGCAGAGTGTTATGCCTGTCAGGCATCCAGTGCTGGGAAGTGGTGCAAGCCCTGTGGACACGTACCATCGCGGCATCAGTGTAGACAGATGCATTTAATAAAATCTAAACGTATCTGTTTTATGAGACATGCAAGTGATGGATGTCGAAAAAGTCTTTAAAAACACTTTATGTGCAGACTGGTCCTCAGGATCCCAGATACCCAGAATGGTTCGGCCTGAATTTTTTTTCCAAGCAGGAACCTCTGAGGCTTAACAACTGAAGCCATGCAGAAAAAACTGCAGTTCCTCTAATGTCCACTTGAGGCTGGCGCCAAAAGTGAATCAATCCTCACAGACCTCCATGTTAAACTGTCCAACTTTACAGCAGAAATAAACATGTTTACAGCCTGGTACAAAAACAGTTGAGGGCTCTAAAGCTAATTTCAACTTTCATGACAACTGTGCAGGGGCTGCATTTTTATATAACTCATCTGTTTATGTTTTATTAAGGCTGAAAGTTACGTCCTCGGTTTGTCAGTCAGATTCATCCATCACTCCTCCACAGCTCCTCCTTCTTGTCCAAATATGGTCATTTCTGGCTCCAACAAACCAAGATTGGTGATGGTTGAAATGCCAAACTTGAGGCTTCAGAACGGGAGTCCACAAACCAGTGGGTGATGTCACAGTAACCACGTCAAAAACAGTACAAAAGACACGCACATCCCAGCTTCCAGTGGAGTGGGTGCTGGACCAAAAAAAAATCTGGCAAGGTAAAAACCAAATAAGTCAGCACGCCAAGTAGCTCCAGTTTAGAAGGAATGTAATGCAGAGTGACGTTTCAGGCCACACGGCTCTTCCTCAGACTACTTCGTCACCGTACCTACGTCTACTCTTTTCTCAGTCCATGGTTTTTACCTTGGTTTGATTCTGGCCCAAAGCCCACTCAAACATTGGGTTAGTGCTCGGCCACAATCAACTCAGCCTGACACCAGACACATTATGAATGGGTGAATGAGTGAGATGATGGACAGGCTGGAAAACAACCTTTAATAGATAACAAAATATATTAATTTATCCAAGTATCAGATTTATGATAATGGAACATGGAGATGTTCAGATGCACAGAGAAGAAACTGAAGACACCACATATGGTTTGATCCATATATTGATCCTGTATTGATCTGATCACATTTCAGGTTAAACACACTCACACAGAGAAACCCAGCAAGACTCTGAGGTCAGTTTGTACCAGTGAAATTTGACCTGCTGTTATTTATTATGTACTGATGGCTCGCTGTCAGCTGCTCATCTGCAGGTTCTCTGCCCTCGAGCAAGGCAGCAGATAGCTGAATAGTTTATACAAGATGTTCCCTTTTTCGATTGTTTTATCATTTGTTGTAATTTTATTCATCCATTATTTAGCCAGGTCCCATTTAGATACTCTGTCAGGGAGTCTTTATTTGAATCATGTTTCATATTTCATCACAAAAAACAAAGATGAGAGGAGACTAAAAACAAACGTGATTTGTGTTACAGAAATCTGTTTATTTTTTAATTTTTTATCCTGTCAGTCACCTCGAGACACTACAGATTTATTGTACAACCCCGAGGAACGTCCTGACCCTCAGGTTGGGAACTAGTTATTGACAAGATCTACACATTTTGAGTAGATGGAGGCAATGACAAGATGTAAAACAAATTCAAACAGAATTTTAAGAGTGTGATGAATACAATAACACAAAAATAGAACAAAACAGATTAAAAGCAGGTGAATAAAAATGAAAATGCAGCACAAGAAATGAATGAATAGCTTCAGATTAAATGTACTAACTGGCCGTGCAAACCTCAATTTGAAAGAACTAAGAGAGAGAAAGACAAAAAATTTTAAATGTTCACTTGCTCGTTATAAACAGGAAAATTGTAATTAATTGTAATTAATTATGAAGCAGAGTCTCAAGACCCTAATTTGTCCTTTTTAAAGAGCATAAGGTCTGTAATCAGCTACACAGTTTTTCAATCATTTTATTATATCCTTGGAGATCTTTAAATTCCTACAGGATGATTGTTAGGCACAGAGGTCAGAGGTCAAAGTTTGGATGAACCTCTGCAGTGCTGATGAAAATTCACAGTTTTGCATTGAACGTTAAATCGTTTGCTTTTGATTCCTTCTTTCATTTCATGGACGAGGCCTCCAGATGAATCTGAGCTGCCCTCTGAGAGGTGGAGGTGATGGAGCCTCTGATATCTCTGATCTGTTGCCTCCACCCAGCGGCAGTTTGTTGTAACAGCAGCAGTTTGTAGTGCCACACGTTGGCTGTAGAAAGTCTGAACAGAGCGAGTGAATCCAGCTTTTGTTGCTATTGATTAAAAATCCCTTTTTAATCAGTCAATTTAAGATCAATCATCAGTCTGGGAACTGATCAATCAGCCATTAACGAGTTGTTTCATTAGTGTAGTTCATTTATTTGTCACCTCTCAGGAGAACAAGACAGGTCCATTAAAGCAGGACTTTGTTTTTACCAAGATTTGTGTTGAGTGTAGGAACAGATGAATATTCAGATTTGTATTTGACTTTATATTATTTTATTAGAGATATGGGCAGAAATCCATTCATGCTCCGTACAAGACAACACAAATTTTGAGATTTATTTTGGTATGTGAGATCAACATATTTTGTCATATCTTATTTCAATATCTTTAGTGAAAGAAAAAATAAATAGGCCCCTGAGGAGAAAGACTGGTGAGCTCTTTATCCTCCTTTAAAACACTTTTAAAACACACACTTTTGTAAATGTGCTTTCACACAGTTTAAGACCTGAACTCACTTTTATCTGTAAATCACTTCTTAAAACCTATTTATATATCATAACTATTATTTTACTGTTTTGTTTTATTTGATCTATTTTACTCTTTCTTATAGGTAGCTACTGTTGTCCCATGTTGTGTGACTTTTAAACTGGTTTTATTGTTTTTTTAATCATTGTCTATTGTATTTTATTTTTGTAAAATGCACTGTGACTTTGCTTTGAATATAAAAAATAAAGTTTCATTATTATTATTATTATTATTATCATTATTATTATTGTTGTTATATTTTCTAAAGAAACATAAAAACCCTAAAGGCCTGTTTTAAAAAATACTGTGGTTACAATTGGAAGATAATTTGTATTTTTATTATATTTACCTAGTTTAATTTGTTTTATTTTATTTTTTCAGTTATATTTCAGTCATTATTTTATTTTATTTTATTTTATTTTATTTTATTTTATGCTGCATAGTCCACAGTCTATAAACGTTGGCCTTGTCTTCTCTCTACTCAATAGGTGGCGGTACTGTTTCCCACTTCCGTTTCACCAAACTAAAGAAGAAGAAGAACCGGAAGCAGTCGTTCGTACGTTGCTGCTAACTCGCTAACGTCTCATGTTGAACTCTGTCGAGCAGTTAAAATGAACAAACTGAATAAACCTCAGGAGTTTGACTCGTATGAGATCGAGGAGCCGAGTGATGAGGAGCGAGCTGAGAGCAGGTAGGAAATAAATAATAAATAAATAATCTCTTAGCTGTAAAAACTTTGTAGCTTTAGCACCATGAGGCTAACGTGCCGCGAGCTAGCTGGATGCTAACATGTAAACAAACCGGTGCAGGCTGAAGACAGAGGGACTGTTACTGATGATCTGTCTCTCCCTATATGTCGATTGTTAAAATATTTTACAGTCAAGTAAAGTATTTAAAATATATTAACATGATGACAAAGCGGTTTGCCGTTCGTCCTTATTCTACCGCTAAGGTTGACTTTGTTAGACACCAGTTAATGTTCTTCAGAAACACCACAATAATACAAGCCATTCCTGTAAGTAAAACACAGCCTGTGGGACAGATACGAACGTTTAGTTTATACATTCATTGAGACAATGCTGGTGGAAATATGCAGGTCCTTTACTTGTGTAAAAGTAGTACTACTACATTGTAAAGTGCTGTGTTAAAAGCAGTGTTGAGCAAGTGACTCTCAAAATGTAATATTTTACATATTACCAGTTACTTTAATTTGAAACTACTAAGATATCTTACAACATTATTCCCCTTGTAGAGTAGTGAGATACTAATTACACTTCTTTTTCGCTACTTTCACCAAAATGACGTCAGAATAACTCATGTTGGTTTTAAATGGATGAGGGTCTTTTTGTTTCGCAGAAGCTCCTGTTTATTACAGTTCAGGTCTGAGCCATTCATGTGTTCACATACAGTGCTTACATCGCTGTATTAAAATGAAAAATATGATAAGGAAAAATTAAATAGCCTAGACTTTATAAGATGAAAGAAGATGAAAATTGATTGTTATCATGCTGTATACATGTGCTTTTGTACGATATGAGGGTATTAAAGGTTTAAAAAAAAACAGGGTTGAGAATCTGTTTTTTATTTTATTTATTTTCAAACAGGAGACTTTTTACATATTCTTCCACTTAAAAAATGGTTTCAATTAAAGTAATAAAACATTTGCTCTACCAAAAATAAACCTTCTGTTTTCATTCTTTAAAGGGTGATTCTGACTAATAACAATATTTCTTTAATACCGTGAAACTGGGATAACTTTTCCATGGAAATCTCAAACCGTTGTGACCTTAGTCAGTCCATCATTTGGTCATTAAAGTGTCAGCAAATAATGAAACATGCCGAAGCATTTGCATGAGCTGAATGTGAAACTTCTGTCCGGCTGTGTTTCAGTTCGGAGGATGAGCTGGACATTCTGCTGAACGGGACGCCGCAGCAGAAGAAGAAGCTGATCAGAGAGTATCTGACGGGGGAGAGCGAGTCGTCCAGCGGGGATGAGTTCGAGAAGGAGATGGAGGCGGAGCTCAGCTCCACCATGAAGACCATGGAGGGAACCTGGGCGCCATCGTCAGCAGGTAACACCGACCTGTGGTTTCCATTAAAAGAAAAGTGTCTGCATGTTTATCTGTTATACTGGGAGTATTTTGCATTTAAAGGGTGTCACTCTGTGCTCTGTTGTACTTGTCACTTAAATGTAAATGCAGTGTTTCTCAAGCCTGTGACAATTAGTTATGCATCAGATCTTCTGATGCATAACTAAGCCTGAAGGAGACCCTGCCCCATGCAGGTTCAGTTTGCAGCTTTAGTTACCATGGTAACTGAGTCAAAGTTATCGCTTTGAGACTGAAAAGTCAGGATTAATCCCAGACTGAGCTGGGTAACTCACTAATCCTGCTCTGTGAGACAGTAAGGACCTTGTTATGTAAGAATTCCTGATGTTACTTTGTTTATTCTCCATCAGAAACCTCAGGAGGAGGAGGAGGAGGAGGAGGTGGTCCTGGACTTCCTAACCCTCAGGTGTATGATGAGGTGTATTTTGACTCTGACTCAGAGGGGGAGGACACACCAGGTAAGCATCAGCGTTTCTCCAACTTCAGTTTTCCTGCTGTCTGCAACACGTAAGCTCTTATTACAGTAAAACAATCTCTCTGTTTCCTCTGCAGGCAGCTCCACCAGCCGGAGGCAGAGACAGCGGGTCAAAATGACCAATGACGAGCTGCTGTACGACCCCGACGAGGACGACAGGGACCAGGCCTGGGTGGACGCCAGGAGACAGTAAGACACTCAGAAGGAATCACTCTGATTTTATTAAACGTTTGTTTATTTTGGCAGACAAGAGATTCTTTTCTCCTCGTGGTCGTTCAGCCTCTTTTCTTTGTGTGCAGGTTTAACAGAAAGCCAACAGCTGCAGGTTCTCGCTCGCAGCCTCGTCAGTCTCAGGGTTTACCGAGCAGCGACGCCGTCCTCAACTGTCCCGCCTGCATGACGACTCTCTGCCTGGACTGTCAGAGGTGAGACTTCACAGCAACATGTGCTGCTCGATGGGTTTTTGTCCTTTTTGAAGTGAGCTGCCCATACTCGTCTGAAACAGAGCCAGTCCCCACAGACCCTCATGTTAAAATGTCCAACTTTACAGCAGGAATAAACATGTTTACAGCCTGGTACAAAAACACTTTTGGCCTCTATAGCGAATATTAACATTCATGACAACTGTATGGGGGGGTGACTTTTTCTATAACTCACCTGTTTACATTTAATTAAGGTCCAAAGTTATGCATATTTAAGGGTGCGGCCACTTGATTGTCTGCGAGGTGTCACTACAGTCTGAGTCAGATCCATCCGTCACACAGCTCCACGCTCTTGTCCAAATTTGGTCACTTAGGGTTCCAAAAAAACAAAATGGCAACAAGTGAAATGCCGAATGGGTGACGTCACAGTAGCCACGTCCATTATTTTAGTCTATGGTTCAGACTGAGGTCACGCTGCAAATAATCAGACCTGTATCAGATTTCAGAGCCCATATGAAAGTGGCCCCGATCAGGATGTGATTTGTTGCCTGATATTGGACAGAACTGTCAACTTGTTTCACCCCGTTTCCATTTTCAATCGATCAACTTGAACTTAGTGGAGTAGCTGGATTTGTTCATACTGTAATTAAAAAAAAGTTTTGGCTCACATGAAAAAAAATACCAGTTATCACAAGTATTTCTGATTAGTTTCTGTGGAATAATCAATGATTTCACTGATTTACACCACGTTTACACATAGCCGGGTATTTAGAGAAACCAATATTTCCCCCCCTCCGTTTTCAATAATAACATCGTGCACACAACTTCGTTTTCAAAAATGTTGTCATTTACATGAACCCGGATAAATACGCCGTCGAGTGCCGTCATAACTATGCCAAACCTATGGACAGCAGTGTAGGCAGAAGGATGAAACCACGCAAGCCAATCAGAATCCTCAGAATGGACAACAATAACAACAACAACGAATAAGACATGCAACTTCCTGTTCCTTTCAAAACAGTAAACATGGCGAGAGGTTCGTTTGTGTGGACTGACAGTGAAATGGAGCTACTCCTAAATGTTGCTTTAAATGCCGGATTTCCACTGGATGCGTGTCCGTTGCGGAACGGCAGCGCTGGTTATCTGCTGCGTGCTCCGCTGTCCGTCAATACCCACCGGCTGCGTTTGCTGTGCGGAGCAGTGCAGCTCCGCCGGAAGACATCTCAGTGTGCTGCCATGATGAACATCTCCTCGTCCATGGTGTCAGCGGGGTGAAATGACGTCTGAAAACCTCTGACCTGTTGACTTCAGGCCGACGTTTTCAAGGTGTAGTGCAGGGAAATATGATCCGCCGTGAACACTGTGTATTTTATTTTGAAAATTAACCGGATGTTTTATTTTGTTTGTGTGCACAACTTCCTGCCCCGCATGATCTGCTCTGTGCTGAATTGCTGCGTTGTGCTCCAGCGTCCGGCAAAAATAGAAGTCCTGCGTATCTGTTGCTCTGGAGTGCCGGAGCTGAGACGGAGCTGGAACGCAGCACAGCTGCAGCTGGTGGAAACACACACATTGACTAGAATTGACTCCTATCGGCTCCGCTGCCGTGCCGGAGTGGAGACGCAACCAACACGCATCTGGTGGAAAAAGGCCGTAACAAAGTGTTTGCACAAACGTAAAAATGAGTACCACCTTAACAGCATCCATGATCAGTAGCCAAACAAAGTGTAAACATAGGTCGCTCACATGACGTCAAGCATTTGCTGGCGCATGGTGTGACGTTTCAGAACCTAAAACCCCGTTTCACCCAGTTTAGACGGCAACACATAAACGGTGTTTTCAGAAATCTCCACTTTGGCCGGAGTTTTTACAAATGATCGTTTTCCGTGAAAAAAGCTCCATTTGCGTGTAAACAAGAGGCCAAACCGCATGAAAATATGTGCGTTTTTCCTACGTGTAAACGGGGTATTAGGGAGGGTAAAAGCTTCACTGGGGTCATCAGGTCTTCAGAGGGCTTATTGGCAGAACCTGGCGTCCCAGGTGTGCCCCCTCTGCTTTTAGTCCCTCATACCCTGCTGTTGTGAGTGGTATCTCACGGCCCAAGTGGCGGGACTGAAGCCAAAATGCCAGTTATTGCAATCATTTCTGATTAATCTCTATGGATTAATCAGTGATTGCTCCAGCTCTATATTATTGGGAGTTTGGAGAACGTTTCTAATCAGAATTAATAAAAATGTCCAGAGCTCAAATCAGTCAAATATTCTCTTGTTTCAGCCTCCAATCCTGAGTTATATCAAAACCCTGTGTTGAAATCAAGAATCAGCAGATGATAAAAATGATTTGCAGCCCTGAAACAAACCGTTCTCTTCAGAGAAGCTGGATTATGATTGATGTAGATTCTCCAGATGCAAACCATCTGCTCAGCTGATGTCATCTGTTTTGTGTCCACTCAGGCATGAGAAGTACCGGACGCAGTATCGCGCCATGTTTGTCATGAACTGCGCGGTGAAGAGAGACGAGGTGCTGCGCTACAAAACCCAGACGGAGCTGAAACAGAGGAGGAGGAAGAGGAGGAGGGGACAGAGAACAGACACGCCGCTGGACAAGACTCCCGACCCGACGCCGGCGGGGATGGACGCTGATGAGATTTACCACCCGGTGCAGTGCACAGAGTGCTCCACTGAGGTGGCCGTGTTCGACAAAGACGAGGTCTACCACTTCTTCAACATCCTGGCCAGCCACTGCTGAGACAGACACGCAGACTGTTTGTTTTATTTCATGGGTTTGTCTCTGAGTCTTCAGCTCACAGCAGCTTTATCAGAAGGATGATGACTGCTTCTCTCTGACTGGAAGGGAGGAATAGCTCTGTGGTCGCTCTGAGTGAACCAGACTCAGCTCATAAACACTCTGAAATAACAACGTGTTTGGTCACTTCACTTAATGAGGAGAGAAAACTGCAGCATGTTGTCTGTCTATGACATTTTTTATCTCCCTTTAATGTCTCACGAAAACTGGAATCTGAGACCAGTGTTGCAGCGCCGATGATCCGTACTGGACTGAACACACAGCAGCTTGAATTTTGAGACCGATATGGGTATAAATATTTGAGAATTAAAAGGCTGGTTAGCAACATATTGACTGAGACCCAATTTTTTTTACCTACACACTCAAACATTTTTAATAAGACTTCCTGTTAACTTTGCCTTATTTTTTATTTATCAACAAATATAACCCCTCTTCCACAAGCAGAAGCTGCTGTATGAACAGACAATGACTGACAGTACAGTAAAACAGAGATGTAGTCATATAAAACATGTCTTCATTGGGAACGTTACAGTTGTTGACATATTCTTTTCTATACAGATGATGTGGTGGTGTTGGCCTCATCAAGTCTGAGGCCACGGTTCTCTGCCAGAAAACCAGTTGGGAGAGTTATTGCTGCAAGCGAAGGAGTTCAAGTATGTCGGGGTCTTGTTCACAAAAGAGGGTAAAATGGAGCGTGAGATCAATATGCGGTTTGGTGCGGCATCTGCAGTGATGCAGGTGCAACACCAGATTGATGTGAAGAGGGAGCTGAGCCAGAAGGCGAAGCTTTCTATTTCCTGGTCCATCTACGTCCCAACCCTCACCTAAGGTCATGAGCTCTGGGTAGTGACTGAAAGAATGAAATCATGGATACAAGCAGTTGAAATGAGTTTCCTCTGTAGGGTGTCTGGGCTCAGCCTCAAGATCCTCCCTACATGAGCTGGCCCCATATCAGTGGGGTCAGTATTATTAAATGTTTGTACAGTGCTTATGAATGTTAGACAAAAGAGGGTTGACTTAAAATGTTACTGGCCTGCTAAGATTTTTTTTTTTTGAAGAGTTGTGAGCAGGGTGTGTCCTCAGAGGGACATTTTGCGGTTGTAAATAAAATTGTCAGTGCTTTCTGTTGAACAAACTCTCTATTCCTTTCATTTATCTACAGACATATACAGTACTGTGCTTATACCATTACAGACATATCTGTGAGAAGGTAACGCCAGCCTGTTTTTGGGTATGGCGCTTATATACGTTGCAGGTACAGTGAAGTGTCCACCAGAAACTATAGGACCAATCTGATCGAGGAATCCTTTGTCTGCTTGAGTTGTACAGTTTTTAATGATATATATCATGTGGAATACTGTAGTTTTTGTTTGGTTATATTAAGTTTCTTCAAAAAGAATCTCAGTCATTTCCTAAAACAGCTGGTCACTGTCATTTTTATCAAACAAATGTGGAATTTAAACTTCTTCTTTTTAAACTTTAAAGTAGGCTCTGTGTCAATGTAGAGCCTACGCCTTAGCCTGACGTGCATCTCTCCAAAAATTTAACTACACCACAACAACTTTGACTGGTCGGCCTGGTAGCAGCACATTTCCTCCTGTGCATTTCTGGCTTTCTCCTTTCTCGTTAGGTAAACATGGACCAAATGGAGGAGAACGAAGAAGTGCACAAATATGTACATTCACATGACTCCTCCTCACCCTGCTACAAAGACTCTCAAATGGCTGCAAACTCCTGAGGAGGTATTTCCAATATGAGCAGTGTGGACGTAGCAGAAACAGGAAACAGGAGAAAATGGTGCACTTTTGGGGGGGACAACTTTTATCTGCGGATTAATCCACATTCATTGATCTAGTAGTACATGTTTGTGGCAGCAGGATAGTGTATGTAAACAAATGTGTGTGTGAGTGTGTCACCATCATGTATGTGTTTCTGGACAACACTGGAGTTTCATGAGATTATATTAATACCCAATATGTCTTCATAGGATCAGTCCACAGTTGGGCTTCTTCATGGGACGTTTAAAACAAAGATCAAAGTATAAAAAGGAAAAGGAAATGGAATATGACAAAATAATTAAGTTGTTAAAGTGTGTAAAGCAGCAGGAGGGAGATAAAGAACTGGAAACACACTAACTAATTAAATAAAACTAGTTTTATACAAACAAACACGGTGTACATAAGGTTACACGGTGATCTCACTGTACATTACTTTGAAATCAGGAAGCTGGAACTCCCTGGTTACGTCACAGCACTACACCCACACGCAGACTTGTGATTGGCTAAAAATAAGCACCTCATTACTTTGCGTCCTACGTCACCACAACTACGTAGAAAGGGAAAAAACACAGAGAGGAAAGAAACAAGTTGTCGTTAGTAAAGTTGGAGCCATGGCCCTCGGTGACTGTTGGAAGCAGTTATCGTGGTTTTACTACCAGTATCTTCTGGTGACGGCGCTGTACATGCTGGAGCCGTGGGAGAGAACCGTGTTCAGTATCCTTTTCACACCGCTACACACGGATCAACCGGAGAGCTAACGAGCTAACTTTAGCCGGGACGTCAGCAGAGCTAAGCTAGCTTTCTGCTCGGATACGTAACACTCACTTTACTAATCGATAAACTTGTTTATGTTGTGTTGTGAATATCAGATAAGGTATTTTATGAATGTTTAGGGGTGTATGGCAAATTCGGCATATATATAATGTAACTTATCGGTTCTTAAGTGTTTATGGTTGAAACGGAAATGAACCAAACGTGTTCGCCAGCCGCTAAGGTGTTTAAATACAAATGAGATTCTTTACAAAACGGAATCATTTTTTTTATTTTTAATGACGCAGAATTAAGAGACCACTTGTATAGTTTTAGATAAAGTTTCAAATTTTGTTCGGTAAGGTACGCGCATTTACTTACAAGTGAAGGATCGTTAAATTGCAAATGGAGGCTTGGGTGATTGAGTCAAAACTTCTTACTACTCGCTGTCGTTTTGGGCACAAAACACGTATTTGTGAAAAACAATTCCTTCATATTTGAAAGCCGAATTAAAGACACTTTATTACTGAATTAGAGAGTGTCACACACTTTGTTGTACTACGCACGTATCTTTGCTCACAAGTGAAAACGCATTAAATAAGTAGAAATGTCAACGGAGTTCGGCACGTGATTACTTCGCAGAAGAGGACGGGCGGCGTCGAGGCTAAGCTAACTGCAGCCAACTTCCTATCCACAGTCAGGTGACACACACACTCTGGTTAACACCACACACTACTTTATTTTTTAACTTAAATGAAACAATAAAACTTTAAAGTCTGTCTAATCAACGTTAAAGGATGGGCGGTTAATAATTAAAGTGCATCGTGTTAATGGTGTTATGGCTGCACTTTGATCTGCGCTCGTGCAGCAGCAGGCCGTCAGTGTCACTCTCTGTACATGACGTATCGTCTTCCTGCAGCTGGTATCACCCTCATCTCGTCTTGCCTCAGGGTCAGGTGTGTTTGTGTTATTGTTCCTCTGCTTGTTATCAGCCTGAGTGCTGCTCCCCATCAAATGTTAATTCCCCAGCTGCTCTGGGATCATGCTGCTGATTCTGTTATTAGGTGGTGTCACAGCAATCAGTCACGGCTTGTGTTAAAAATACCAAATACTTGCTGATTACAGCTTCATAAAGGTGAACTTGATTTCTGTCTCAAAGTTCTGAACCCTCACTTCTTGTGATGGGAAGCTGTGTTTAGCAATATTTGAAAGGCTGACGATGACCTTGAGCAAGAATAATTGCTCTCAGTCCCATTAATTTTGTCATAGATAGTGTTAGGCAACTGGCAGCAGGAGAACTTAAGCGCTTGTATGGACATGAAACTCTCCTGTTTGAATCAGCAGCATAAAATGTAAACTATGAATGCACGAGTATATCAGCACATCATCAGCATAGACCAGTATTGGCTTTAAAATGAACTATCAGAATCGGCCAACATGTTTTTTCTTAATTTGCTCAATGAATGAATAATGTATTGTATTTCATGTCTCCATCTGCTGGTGGGCCGTCACAATAAGAGTATGCAGGCGTTATATGATGTTAATTCCACTACAGAAGAGACTTGTTGATCACTAAAATTAGGCAGGTTAAAAGTGCATTTATTGATATCTGTTATGGGTCAGATGAGTTGTTGTATATCAGCGTATTAGATGTTGGCAAATAATTCAGTATAGTGCATCCCAAATTTAAACAGCTGTCGAAAATATCTGGTTCTTTAGTCCAGTCTACAAAAGAAAATATTGGCATTGTACCTTTAACAAACCATATGTCTAATATCAGAATTTCTAAAGTAGTATATGAGCTGAATTTGTCATTGGTGTATGATGACGAGATGCATGCCAAGCTGCAGACCATGTTCAAGAGCAACAAACAACACAACCTATGGCTGTATGTCTCCAGGGCACAGTGCCATGAGAAGCTTTTCTTGTTTCCGTGTTTGTGTTTTACCAGGAAGTCACTGCTTTCTCTGCCAGGATAGAGCCACCAGGAGCGGGTATTTTAAGCCAAAACATGATCTTTCTTCTAACATCACCAAGTGTTTTTTGTGCCTAAACCTAACCACACATTAACCACAGCCTTGCTGAAGCACGAAGAAACCTTCAACGTGTCTACTACATAATAACTCACAAATGTAACATGTCTGTGGTTTGCAGAAACGTACAATGCTAACATTTATTCTGCTGTCACGTTGGGTCATTTGATGAAAAGGTCAGAGCTTTAATGCAGCACGTGGACATAAAAGCTAAAGAAGAGAAGACAACTATGACTCCAAACCTGCTTTTCAGCAAGAAACACCACATTAACAAAGCTTAAAATTCTGTTGTGTGCGACACTAACGCTGAGATGAAGCTTAAGATAACAAAGTAGAAACCTCATAAAACAAAAGCAGTTTAATTCAGCTTTCCTCCTTTCCCATAGTTTAAGGTCTGACATCTTCAAATTCCTCTCTATGACCAATCGACATTAAGACAGTCAAAAATATTAAATTGAATGTAATCTAACACAAGGACAAGCAGAGAATGCTCATGTCAGAGAAGCTGGAACCATCAAATGGCTTTTTTGCCCAGAAAAATGTCTGAAACCGTGAACTGATTATCAATATAGTTGCTCATTGATTCTCCCGTCAATCTGATTAACAGATTTGCTTCTTTGAAGTCAGTTGTCATAGCACTGGCTCCATCTCGTCCATTTGTGATTGTAGGCACAGTGCCACACAGGTGTGTCTCAGCTGAGCTGTTAGTCACCTGAGACACAGGTGAACGATCCCAGTGTAAAGACATTAAAAATGACATTTAAAAAATAAATAGCAACTTATTTCAATGTGAATCAGCATTACACAGATTTACAGTAAACAGGTTACCAGTACAGTGCATGCTAACACGTAATTTCTCAGAGCAACCTCGTTGCATATAAACACACTGAATGTTCTAGTGACTCTTATTAATTCAAAGAAACATATTTCATCTGAACCAACCCTTTAAAGGAGCAGTGTGTAGGGTTCTAAGGGATTTAGTGGCAGAGCATATTTACTGAGCGCCAGTGAACAGTAACACAAACCATCAGGAAATGTTTCTGCTAAAGAGCTCCTTAGCTCTTTGTTTACTTTCCTCAATTTTGTTTGTCTTCTCGTGCGCTGAGCTGAACTGACAATCAGAGTGATATCAATCACCAATGGACTTCACCGTCGCCAATTTGGCATGCTGATATTGCCAATGAAGTAGTTGGTAGGCAGTGCTTGATGTAAGACACGACATCAGGATGTGAAACAGATTTAAAGCTCAGTCTTAATGAATGAATGATTGTGTCTTCAGTTGCTCCTTAACGCCTCCTCTCCAGACTCCCTGGTGATCTCCGTAGCCGGCATGGCCGTTTACACCGGCTACGTCTTCATGCCGCAGCACATCATGGCCATCCTGCACTACTTCGAGGTCGTCCAATGACACCATCCTGACACCCGTCCATCCGCCCACAGGTCCTGTCTGTCTCTGGCTTCCTGTCCGTCCATCTACCAGCCGTCTCCTGGGCTTGAGGTGGGGATCGTTTCCAACCATGTCGAGGCCGAGCTTCTCTCCTCCTCCTCCTTTTTTCCACAGCTCGTTCAATGTTAAAGGTCGGAGCTCTGAACGTTGCACTCAAGGTCAAGTTGGATGGTCTAATTCCCCGGGATGGTTTCTTCTTCACTGAAATGTTTGGGATTGTGGACAGTGTTGGGCTCAGAGGCAAGGCCTTACAGAGGTGTGCTTGGTTTCCTTTCATGTTGTTATTTTTATCTTCTTTTTTTTTTTTCTTTTTTTATAAAATCAAGCGCACCTTACAGTTTTTGAAAATGTGTAATGATACAGAAGTCTGGGTGTGTGGAGTGATTGGACTGTTTTATTTTTATTCCATTGAGACATGAAACCATTGTTGTCTTAAGAGTCTTATGTGGGAGACACAGTGTCTGACGGACAAAACAATTTGTCCTTTTGTCCATTTTATGAGCCGTGTATGATTATTAGAGCAGGATCAGACCTCTGGATGAGGCAGCATCTGCTTTGAAGGATCGACTATTTTCAACCTTCACCATCATTTTTCAGCACCAGACACAGGAAGGCAGGTAGTGCCGATAAAATGGCTGCGATGTGGAAAGGGTGGGAAATGGTGGCATGGGACCCAATCACGCTTGAGATCTGTCGTGTATATTTATAATTAACTTATTATTTTACTCCTGAAATGACACTCCAGTCAGGCAGCAGCAGCGACCTGTATCAGGTGCACGGCTGCAGGAGGTTTCTCTGATTTTAGTACAGTTGCTGCAGGTTCCTGCTCATTTTACAGCTAAACAGTCCGTAGATTAAAGATTGTGTTTTACTGGAGACACAAAGAGAACACACTCAAATTAGAGCTAAAGCTTGGAGGAACCTTTGGCATGGATCAGTCTGTACGAGCTGTGCATGAAGTCCAGACTTTAAAGTTGCACCTATATAAATACTGTGGAAGTATCAAAATGCTCAGTTCTGAGAGATATTCAAACAGTTCGTCTTCAGAAACCGTGCCTTTGAACGAGCCATCAGGATTTCTGTAAATTTTTGATGTCACAAGTACACTATATAGTAGACTGTTCTTTAGGTATAGAAATATTAAGTCCAGTTCAGACCAAAGATTTGTGACGAGATGAGTTGAAACAGACGGCTACCTGCAACGAGCCGTTCTGCAGTGCTCTAAAAACCTGCCAGTTCACACCAAGTGACCACGATGAGACGGTGTACACTGTGTGCTGTCATTTTGACTTGACCAGCGGACTTCACTAACAGGTGATGTGCTTTAAAACTAGCCGCCGGCGATTTGACCAGCTGAGTGTCAGGTGACACCATCAGCCAGCTTGAGTCGAGCTCAGACCGGCCAGTTCACACCGCTGACACTTTTCTCTGCAACGTTCTAGAATGGTTTTCGTCTTGTCATGAATCTTTGGTCGGAACGTTCTTAATGGGTCCTTTTGTATTTCTTGTGTATGTGGTTGACATCAGCTGACAGGGACCCAAGTTGTTGCCTCTCATCGCAACTCCAATGACACCCTCTTTAGACCGAATCACTGTGTTTATTTATAACAACTTCTGGGTAGAAAATCCAGGCGTCGCGTAGGTAAATTTAAACGGCGCTGAGGAAGCACTGCTGCAGTGTGTTAGTTCTTAGCCTCCTTTTCCACCAAAAAAGATCAAAATCAGTCGAGTGTATATTACAGTATTCTCACTGCTTAACCTCGCCGTCAGTCTTTTCCAACGGGGAATTGAAGCTCTTGTCTTTAAGCCACTAGGCTCCATTGACAGCTGCTGGTCTAGCACAGCCTCAGTTGGTTAGTGTGTGAAATGGCCGAGGCAAATATTCAAGTATAGTGTACACTTAGACTGATATGGATTTTCTTAGCTGGCTAAAATATGGTTTGCTGCAGCCGCATCCACAGCAGTACGTTGTTTAGCTTCCGTGTTGGTTGATTTGGTTTATCAAAGACGTTAGCAAAGCAACAGAGTGCCTAAAATAAGCACAACAGAAACATCAGATGGGATCGGACCACCGTGTTTTACTACATATCTTTAATAAAGTTGCGGCTAAAAATGACGACAGAAATCAACATGTTTGCTAGTTTTCTACCTGGTATTGTTAGCGTGACGTCATGGTGATTCGGTCAACAAAGATGGAGGAACAGAGTGTTCAGACAGAGGGTGATTACAGGTATATTTTTTAAACATTACAGCATCTCAACATGTTCTAGTAGAGCCCAAAATACAAGTCTGGACCTGAATATGAGCAGAATCTGGGACCTTTAAAGAAAACAGAGCCTGAAAAATGAACGTGTCCTCCATGTTTCTTTGTCTCAGCGTGGAAAGTATCTAATGACTGTTTGTCCTGCAGAGTTAAAGTTGCTTTAGTGATTCTCTTGTTACCTGTATCCTTGTGGCTGCTGCTGCTTGTACACATGAGTCACTCTGTAAATGCAAATGGTGACAGATGGAGTCATGGAGAAAGTGACTCTGAACGTCTTCCCTCTTGAAGCAGGCGGGCTGCAGCACAATGAAAAATGGTGGTTAACGAGTTGACAGTTGTCCTTTTTTAAATTGTTTTAAGATGCACAGCAGGCAGCGTTAACAGTTTCCTCTTTGTACAGAGATGAGAAATGTTCCATTTTTATGTGATCATGTTTTATGATATGTACTGCTACTGGTATCCCTTTAGAAAATTGTGATTATTTCTCCTGATAAAAAAATAATGTATTTCTCTCAGTTTTGTGTATATAATCTTGTATACATACTTGTAAAGTTTTGTAGTCAGATATGTCGGCGTATAGCATAAAATACTTGTGGTTTTTGTGAACTACTGATATCAAACACTGTTCTATGAGATCATTAAAGGGATGTTTCACCAAGCAAAGGCTGTTTCTTGTACCTGGGGTTACTCTGATTTTATTTTGCTCTGACCAATCAGCTGCAAAAACACTTTTCTGTCCATTACTCAGCGTCATATCTCAGGAACAGAAGGGGAGACATTTGGTCAGATACTGAATTGGTGACTCTAATCTTGAAACTGTGCTGATTGTATAGATCTTCTGTGTGTGAAGCATCCATGTTTTCACTGACATGGATGGAGACTGTAACTGCAACTTCAGTGGTGAGCAGCGGTGTACAACCACAAGGAGGTAATTCTAGTTTAAGGGCTTTAATTATTAAATTTGTTCTATGCAATGTCTCTGGGCTGGTGTCCATGATCTTCCTCCTGTAGTTACCTTCACCAGACACTAGATGGGAGTGTTTCCATGTGTTTAAGTCACCCACCTATTGAAGGAGTAGCTGTGTCACTGCTGTCTGAATCAAAGTAACTTAAACAGCCAATTAAGTTGACACTATGTAATTGGAGTTTTACTAAATACATGTTTCCTTACTAGACGTCCAAGAAAAAAAATACTTTTATTATTATTTTTATTATTGGCCCAAACAGTAACTGTATATAGTGACAGGATGGAGGACATGTTGCTTATTAACAGAGCAATGGAATAATTTGTCATTTCATCAACATAATTCCTCCATAGAATAGAAACTGAATAGAAAAGATAAAAAGAAAGACTTCATTTTGGCACCATTCATTATTGAGGTGCGACACCCGTCATGGACACCAGAGGCAGCACTGAGCTAACCGCTGCTGAGGCTGCAGGAGGAGAGCGAAGAAGAGAGATCGGCGCCATGTTGGATTTTACATCGATTGTTTTGTTTGTCGCTAGTGTGATTTCCCTGGATCTTGGTGGAGTTAAATGCTGATACGTTCCTCCAAACACGCCTGATATCGACATGGAGTCTGCTGAAATGTCGCTGACGAGTTCATCCTGCCTTCAGATGGGTTCGTATTTCTTTTAATTAACGTTTATTTGGCGAAAAACGTTATTAAGTACTAAGTCTGAGCTAACTTACTAGCTAGCAGTACGGAGCAGGGAAGCTACCGTAGTTATCTGACTTCTAAAAGACGCGTTGAATGTAAAACAGTCTGTATGGGAGCGTCTTTAATCGGCTTATTGTTTATTGTATTTAATAATCCTCATATATCCGGTTTTATTTCACCAGATTAAACACAGGAGAAAGTTAAACAACCTGTTGCCACTTATATCCCCGCCTCTCTACATAGCGAAATCCTATTGGCTTGCCAGCTTGGATCGGCGCTCCTATTGGTCAAACCCCCTCAACGCCTTTCCCCATTGGTTATGAACCTAGCTGCAGTGACCTAAGTGGTAGTGTGGATATTTTATTTTAAAATGACATCTTAAAAATATTAAAATGAAATATACCGAGGACGATATATATATTAGATTAATGAAACAATACATTAACAGTGTTTCACAGCGTCATCTAAAGAGCTGTGTTTGTGTTTTGTTGCTAGAAAAATTAAAATAAAAGTATCACAAATCCCGAATCTGGATTTTAAACCATATTCAGATTCTGTTATTATATTAGAAAAACCTTTGGCAGTATAAATCAGCAGACTAGGGTTGCAGTGATACCGTGATATAAAAGATGACCGTTATCATAATGTGTACATTTGCTTAACTTTATTGTAGTTATTTTCAAAGTGGACACTTGTTACACATACCTCCATTCACATAATGGTTTCAAGTTTCAGTTAAACAAAAATAATCCATCCATTTTAATTCTTTTAAGGATCAATCTGATTGATAATCGTATAAATTCTATGATACTGTGAAATCATGATATTTATAAAGGTGGTTATTGTTAAAACCTTGTTGCAATCCAACAGCAGAAATACTTATTTTCTGACTCATGCACAACATTTTTGATCTTGTCTTATATTAAAAAAAACATGCCACTATGTTGATCAAACAATATGAAAACATATTAGCATGTTAAGAAATGTACTTTGTTCATCAGGATGTACACTGAGATAAGCTGTCTGAATCCTTTAGACACTGTACAAAATATTTTAGTAAACTAACAAACAAACAAGAAAGGAAAAGCTATTACGGGGGTTATATTTCCTATTACTAATATAACCCTTCCTATTTATTTATCCCATTTATGTAAATCATATTAAGGTTTAAAAGCAACTTAATTTATATAGTGCTTTTCAAAAACAAATACAGAATGCTCATGTGCAGCTCATATATGGAGTTTGTGCTGTTTACATCAGGGGTGGGAATCAACAGAGGCTCCACGATACGATGTCATCGAGTCACGATATAATATTATTGCAATTTTAAAGTGTTGTGATTTGCTGAATATTGTGATTTATTACCCTTTTTCAACTGTAAATGATGTCTCCAGAGGTAAACGTTGTCAATATCCATGTTACCTAATAAGGTTAAGTTTCCAGTTTGCTCATCTGTTCATCAGTTAGCTGCCTCTCTGTCCGCTCTGAACAGCGTCGTACCGTCCAGCTGTAGCGATGACAGACACTGCAGTTCGTCCAACTTGTTGTCGAGGGAGCGGACATTAGACAGCAGTAGCGATGGTGCTGCAGGCCTGGTGGGGTTAGCTCTTAGCTTGGCTTGGATCCCGGCTCTCTTCCTCCTCTATTGTTCATGCTGGCACCGCGTCCGCCTCGTCCCTCCCGGGTGGTGGCTAGTGTCCGATAAAATTCCATTCTGTCATAGTATGTCCAATTGGCACATTAACTCTGCTATCGTTCCAGCATACCTCGCCCTGATGTTTACCAGCACAGGTTTGTTGTAGGTCAGAGTTCTGGGATGGTCAACACTAGGGCCCGACCAATATGGATTTTTTGGGGCCGATGCCGATTCTGATATTATGGAATAAAAAAAAATCCGATAACCGATATATCGGCCGATTAAATTTTTACGTTTTTCAGTTTAAAAAACCCTGAAACACCTGCTTTTGATGGCTTAAATGTAGTTCAAACACTCGTTACAAAGATATAAATTGAAGGAAGAACATTTTACTATTTTCAAATACTTTTATTATCAGAAATCAGAAAGTAAGAACAATTTGAACACAGAATAAATCACAAATATGATGTGCAAAAAGGCAGTAAACCTCTGGGAAATAAAATAATCCTGACATTCACATGTATGTTCACAGTACCAGAGTTCTTCTTATTATTGCCAATTTAACAGAGGTAGGGTATAGTGCAAAAAGTAACACAAGGACATCATTTCTGAGTAAAACACCATATTCGCTGCATTTTATTAGTGATGAAAATATAAGACATCGGCGTCAATCGGCCAACTCACTGCGACCATGTGCGGCACCAACTTTAATGCTGTTCTAACACTGTTCAAGTGCAGTCGAGGAATTAAGTCCCACATTAAAATGATTTCATTCTGTGTCCTGCATGAGCAGGCTGGTGCTATCGGCTGATTAATCAGCTTTTTCCTGCTCCAAACTATCATCATTATATCGGCCATTAAACTTCCACTATCGGTCGACCACTAGTAGGAATATTTATAATAAGAAGTAGACAGTATGAGTGTGTTTGCTGCCTCTTTACCACAGCCTCTAAAATGACGTCAGCAACAATCTGAACATGTAACCTGTGTCAGCGTCTCTGTCTGTCGGGGCTGTTGTATTATACTGTATTAGTTTTAGCTCAGTGAGCCTAATCCTGAGTGACAGTCTCAACAAGATCTGACTTTTATAAAGTTCACACAGATCAGATTTGATGTCAGATGCTTTAAGGTTGTGGCTTGGCAGTAGACTGTCAGGTGTTATATTGGCCTCACCCTGTATCCACAGACGGGAGTGAACCCTGCTAAACATCACGTCCCATGATGCTCTAAATGCTGCTTCAGAGGCTTCTGTTAATTCTGCAGGGAAAATGAATTACTGGTGATTATATGGGCATCACAGAGCGATATCTACAGATTATCAGCCATCAGCAGCTTCAGTCAAACTCTGTCTTTGAAAGCACATCCATCACTCTAAAGTCACCCTCTGGCAGTGTTCCTCTGGTTGCACCACACTTCCAAGGAATCATTCTTTCCTCCTGTGTCTGGCAGCACATCAGAAAGGAAACAGAGGGCTGGTTACTGGTTAACTGGGACGATGGAGCTCTCCTCACGTACGCACAACCAGCTGCTGGCTGGAGTTTGAACTGCCGTCATGTGAGGTACCCAAACACACAGAACACTCACACAGTGCAGGCTTCTCTGAGTATCCAACTCAGACTTTTCAAGGCTCTCTGTGTAGATTTAATGACGCACTTGTTCCAAACTATTTCAGCTTATCAATCAGAGCCAGAATCACCTGTTAGCTAACTGCACTGTCACACTTACCTGGAATTTGTCACCTGCTGTAACAGCTCCCAGTGCACACCCATCTGTAATCATGAAGCGTGTAAAGTTCAGATTCATTGCGAGAGGAGTTGACTCAGCTCTGTGGTGCTTCTCGATGCTGCTGCAGATTGTTTATGTTTTTGTCTGTAAAAATAACTTGCAAACATTTTGGTTGGCAGTGTAGGCTTCATTTTCACACATGTGCACACCTGGTCAGAGTCGTTAGGTAGTTGAAGTTGAACTTTGTCTGCAGCATATTGGTGTAACATATCATCTCGTTCACGATAATTCCCGTATGATTTTTAATACAATAAGAAAAATTTATGCTGTGACACTCGCAACATTTCGACAAGCATGACTGAAGCGAAATTATTACTGACTCCTTGGTGGTTCCAAACAGGAGCAGCTTCAGTAGTGTGGAATAAACTGTGGCGTCCTGAATGTTTTACTTCTCTTAGCACTCAGAGGGAACTCAGTCAGCGTCTCTCCCTCTCCTCTCTCGTCATGCGCACACGAGTCGGTGTCGTCAAGTGATTTTGCCGTGAACCTATGTGAATAAACTCCATATATGTCAGTGTGTGCTAGTTGTGGTGTCATAACAGCCTGTCACAGGTTACAGCCTGATGATTAGAGGAGAAATGGCAGAGCAGGAAGGTCCAGGTGGGAAAAAAAAACAACTCAGTCATTTAGGATTTTACTAAAAGAAGGAAATCAGCTGCTGATTATACAGTCATGTGAAAAAATTAGGACACCCTATGAAAGCCTGTGTGTTTTTGGACATATGGATATTTAATATAAATTCTAACAATACTGGGAGATTCAGGTAATATAACTAAACAATTAAAACTTAAGAAAAGATTTTTATAACTTTCTGTAAAATGTAATTTTAAAAAAAATGCAATTTCTGGTGAGGAATAAATTAGGACACCCCCACATTTATTCCCACTTAAAATGGCTAAAATCACACACAGGTGTATCACATCAGGTGCACATGATTAGAACATCGTTACTCAGCATTTTGAAGGAGGCTTGCCCTTTTAAACCTCAGACATTTAGTTTGGTGTGCTCCAGACTGCTGAAGTGACAGTGAACACCATGGTGAGATCAAAAGAGCTGTCTGAGGCCTTCAGAAAGAAGATTGTAGCAGCTTATGAGTCTGGTAAGGGATTCAAAAAGATCTCAAAAGAATATGAAATCAGCCATTCCACCGTCCGGAAAATAGTCTACAAGTGGAGGACATTCAAAACAACTGCCACCAGGCCCAGGTCTGGCCGTCCAAGCAAGTTCACCCCGAGAGCAGACCGCAAGATGCTAAAAGAAGTCTCCAAAAACCCTAAAGTATCATCATGGGACCTACAGCAGGCTCTTGCTACTGTTGATGTGAAAGTGCATGCCTCTACAATCAGAAAGAGACTGCACAGGTTTAACTTTCATGGGAGGTGTGCAAGGAGGAAACCTTTGCTCTCTAAGAGAAACATGAAGGCCAGACTGAAGTTTGCCAGAGTGAACATAGACAAAGACCAGGACTTCTGGAATAATGTTCTTTGGACAGATGAGTCTAAAATTGAATTATTTGGACGTCAGAAGAGAGGACATGTTTGGCGTAAACCCAATACAGCATTCCAGGAAAAGAACCTCATACCAACTGTGAAGCATGGAGGTGGAAGTGTCATGGTTTGGGGATGCTTTGCTGCAGCAGGACCTGGCCGGCTCACCATCATAGAATCCACCATGAATTCTATCGTCTATCAGAGGGTGCTTGATGAACATGTGAGACCATCTGTAAAAAAATTAAAGCTGAAGCGGAACTGGACCCTGCAACATGACAATGACCCAAAACATACCAGTAAATCCACCAAGGACTGGCTGAAAACTAAGAAATGGAGAGTCCTGGAATGGCCGAGTCAAAGCCCAGATCTTAATCCCATTGAGATGCTGTCGGGTGACTTGAAACGGGCTGTACATGTAAGAAACCCCTCAAACATCTCACAGCTGAAAGAATTCTGCATTGAGGAGTGGGGCAAACTCTCCTCAGACCGATGTCGGAGACTGGTAGACGGCTACAAGAAGCGTCTCACTGAAGTTATTTCAGCCAAAGGGGGTAACACTAGCTATTAGGGGGTAGGGTGTCCTAACTTTTTCCTCAGTTAGAATATGCATTTTTATTGATATCTTTTGTTTAATGAGTAAAACAAGGTTAACTTTTGTTGTTTACCTGCAATTAAATCACTTTCTTTCCCAGAGATAAAGAAAAACAAGATCAGACATCGATATGTGAACATTTGTTATTAAAGAACTGAATATTTAATGGGGTGTCCTAATTTTTTCACATGACTGTATATATATAGATCCCAGGGGACATGTTTTGTATTTGGGAGCTGTTTAAATGTGTAATTAGTGGCAGATTTGATTTAGTTGAACTGCGAGTTGCAGGTAGTTGCAGGGATATCTGTCTCGGAAACATCGGACAGTTTATATATTTAACATAAAACACACAACATAAACATTTTTGGTAAAAATCCTTTTAATTTGAGTATTGATAGTGATCAAGATATGTGCATTTGGAACGTCTAGAAGAGCTGCAAGATTATTTTATTCCCATTTTAGTTATCAGAGCGCTAAACTGGAAGCAGCCGGCTCAACTGTGGAGGTCTCCAGTGCACCTGCTCATGCGCCCAATGATTTGGAAGCGGCGCCGATCATCCAGGTAGTTTTTAGACACGGGAGTTGAACCATTTTGGCTTCATGCACCACTGAGCACCTTTCATGGGAACAAATTGGGCCCCACCTCCAACGCTGTATCCAGGTCTCTTTTTTTAGAGCTGCCCTCTAATAGTCGACCAAACGTCAGTCGACCAGTAATGTCATTAGTTGGCAAGATTTCATTGGTTGCTTCGAGTTGCCTAAACCAAACTATGACAACATTAATCCTGCTTTAATTGCTACATGCGGATACTGATGGAAAACAAATGAAGCACACCTTTGCAGAGCCGTTCATTAAAAACATTTGCTCATTATGTTGCAGCAGCTTTCTGTGAAAACATATAGATATAACTTACATTTATCCTGAGAGCAGCAGCTGCAGTATAAAGTCGCAAATGTGAGCAAAATATTATCACAAACAAAAGTGTATGAATGTGTTATTTTGGGTCGCAGAGCTGCAGTCACGGAGGCGGTGTCCATCCAGTCTGACGTAACGTCATAAAGTTTATTATTATTATCATTATATTGACCATATGACAAATTAGTAAAAATATAAATATGTATTATTAATTTAAGAACATAGAATAGCAACAAAATAAGTGACAAAGTTTCACAGTTTGCTTCAAATATTCAGTAAAACTACAAAAAAACGACCTCTCGTTTTTTTAGTTTTAACGACAGGATTTTGACGACTTCCACGCCTTTTCCAGGCCTTGAACATGTGGCTGTGAAATTCCCTGACTCTCCAAGGTTCCCCATAAGCGTGGGAACCCTGTATGACTGTAAATAAAACCATCAGCCTGTGTATCAGTGTTATCATCAGTGCTTATCAGTATTAGTGTCAGAAGCTCTGTGAGGCAGATACACTCACTGACCCCAGCTGCTGTGTTCAGGAACATCAGGAAAAGAAACCACCCTGTATCTGATTACAAAAGACTCAATAAGGAAAGGTTATATCAATCATTATATTTATAGATACATATCAAACAAAGCGACTGTCACCAACCCGCTCGCCCCCCCCTCTGAGGAATGTGACAGCTTCCTGTGCCAGCTCTGCCACCGCGTCCGGTGTTAATCAGCACGTTGCCACCTGCTAACGCCCCCCTGATCAATCAGGACCAGCAGCACACTGGTTCCAGTAAACACAGCTCAAACACAAAGCTCAGACATAGCAGCCGCACACACGGGGAACTGAAGGTCAGAGAGCAGCAGGGCGGTGAAGTTATTTTGGAAAGTTCAGCCTGTTTCTGTGACGTGACGTCAGACTGGATGGACACCGCCTCCGTGACTGCAGCTCTGCGACCCAAAATAAGGCCAAAGTTAAAATCAAGATAATAAAATGTCAGTAAGATAGTGATAAAATAGAAGCTCAGATAAAGTCAGGATATGCTTTATGATATATGTATGTTTTTAGGAGAGACTTAAACGAGGCCAGTGACTCAGACAGCTTCATATCCAGGTCATTAATATCTTTATCGCATAATAAAATATCGTGATATTATTTCAGAGCCACATTGCCCGTTTGTCCATGAGAAAGTGTGTGAACTCTGGTAATAATTGAAGCAATAAGGGCTGTGATGTCATTATTTAATTTTTTTTGTGAAAGTAAAATCACAGGACATGTGTTCAGATGTCTTTTTTGTTTGAGCAACAGTCCAAAACTTAAATAAATTCACTTTACTGTCAAATAAAGCAGCAAATCATCACATATGAGAAGCTCAAAGCAAAGACTTTTTTAATGTGAAGTCGACAAAACAGTATTTTCATCATGATAAAGACAGAAAAGTTTTATTAATAATAAGATAATAAGATTTTAAAAGAGCTGCAGCAGTATAAAGTGTAAAAACAAAGAGTTTCAGACCTGAATCAGGACGTCAGAGTTTTTAGCTTTCTGTTAAAAATATTTAACGAGCAGCTCCTCTGATATCTATAGGCACTGTGCTCCATAACTTTGGAGTGTCACTGACAAACGCTGCGTCCCTGAGGCAAATAGTTACCAAGGGAGTGAGCGATGTAGCTCAGGCCCTGCCCATGTAGGAGCTTAAGTCAACTGTAAATGTTACGTGCAGGTATCAATGTGTGTGTGTGTGTGTCAGTGTATGTACGTGCAGGTGTGCAGAGATAAGTTACCTGGAGTTACTGAAGTGTGTGAGCTATTAGAACATATTAGTTATTAGCTTCTTCCAGTAGTCAGCCCACATCTCCTTAACTGTTTATTTATTTATTAATTAATTAGTTTTTTCTTCATTGTTATTGGTTGTTTAAATCTTTTATATTTTTCTTAATTTATTTTCCATTAAACTCTGACTGAAAATTTATCGTGTAATGAACTGTAAACTGAAAATAAATTCAGCTGTGTGTATGAAAATGGGGTTAAAAGGTAAAGTTTAACAAAAGAAAAAGAAATAGTCAATATTTTGGTGGCAGTTAAAAAAGTCTGTGGCTCAGTGGGAGACTGAAATGTGGTCTAAAATTTTGGGGCAAACCTGTTTATTAAATAAATAATTATCATCATCATTATTATTATTATTATTATTATTATTATTATTATTATCATCATTATAATTATTATTCCCAACACCATCATCCTATATGTTCCATCCGCTCAGCTGTGTCTTCCTGGCGCGTGGTCAACTTCACGTTAACTGTCACGTGGCGCGAGGGCTACATGCAGTTGCCCGAGTCGTCAATGGCGGCGGGCACGCCTAGTGCGCGGGCACGCAGCAGAGCGGAGTCACTTCACCTTGTTTCAACTCAATGAAGAGTTTCACAACAAAAAGCAGCCACATGTTGAACTTGTTGTACATAATGTTCTTTATTAACATTCTTCACCTGCACACTTCATATAAATGTGTTTAGATTCAGTGAACAGATCATATTTAATATTTTTATTACAGCCTCTGATTTCTGTTTCCTCAGACACACCAGGTGCGAGCTGAGGACACATAAACATGGAGTCATGTTACTGAGTAGGTTCTAATGTATCTGAGTTCGTATGAACCTGAACATGGGGTCCTCCTTCCTCCTCCTCCTCCTCCTCCTCCCTCTCATGGTAAACATCACATCCAGCACGTCTCACTTGTCTCCCTCACAGGACTTTCCAACAACCAGCCACAATACGACCGGAAGTCTGAATGCGTGCCTTCAAAATAAAGGCTTGACTCGCCTTTGAGTCGGATTGTTGCCTCGTGAGATCTGTGGTTTAATTAATGAAGAGTAGATGTCTATAAAGAGCCAAATAATTATTTTTATCACCAACTATTACTTAAAGAAATTATTTAGTTTATTAAATATTATAAAATAGTTAGAAATGTCAGTTATAATTTGTAGAATCTAAATCTAATGAACTCCAGAGAGGTAAATAAAAACACAAGTACTGCAGCAGTCCAGATATATGAATATAGAGGAGGAGAATTCCCAAAGAAAACATTAATAAATATTTATTAAAGTGTACATGATAGATATTTAAAGATAAATAAAGAGCCGTACATTTTGTGCAGTTATGCGGAAAATTCTGACCAATAATGAAATCTTCAAATTGCATGTTTGTCCCTGTGGATGGTCCAAAACTCAAAGATATTCAGTTTAATGTGACATATATTTTGGTATTTTTGCATCAATAATTAATTAATTCTCTGCCAATCAGTATATCAGTTATTTAGTTGCAGCACTAAATAAGCAACTTCTTAAAAATGGACAATGACAGTCGAGACTATGGGCTCTGATTTGGCATGAAAAATAAAACCACCATGGTACTGTTGTTCCTGCAGGGCTATGATTTATTTATGTATGTATTCATTCCTTCATTTCATTAAAACTTTGCACCCCTGAAAATAGAGTTTTCATACCGTTACACATTTAACTTCCACCAACTACTAACACCATAATACATGGTAGTTTATTCATATGTTGTTTTATTTAACCAGGGAGTCCCATTGAGATTGAAAAAATCGTTCACAACAGAAACCTGTCCGAGGTAGCAGCCAATATAAACACATTAATCCATAATAAAACGACGACTATTCAAACACAGTGGCCTCTCAAGAGAAACAAGCACACGTCTCTGTCACCACGTTCTGTATTATGCCCTTAAATTCATTAATGTATAAAAGTGTTTCTAATTTTAGATGTTTTTGGAGATTGTTCCACGTCCATGGTGCAGAGTAGGAGAATACAGGGTTCATTAAAAAGCAACCACTCAGAGGATCATAGCTGGAACTAAAAATATGAATATAACAGTGCTGTTTGCATTTTGTAATAAAACATAGAGATGCATGGTACACTGAGTCAAGGCTACGTAAAATGGAGGAGGCTGCATACATATACAAGATGTCAGACAGAAAAGTAGCTTCCACAAGTTTTTTTCTTAGCACTGAAAGTAAAACAAGACTTCACTTTAAGCTCATCAACTGGAGCAGCAATATGTTCATTAAATGTTATATTGCAAGTTATTTTTCAACTGCAGTTTTTGTCGCCAAAGGAAACTTTGTCAAAATTTAAGTTTTCAGTCTGTTTCTCACTGCAGACATTTTTATTGCAGCTAAATGTGTCTAGAGGACTGAAGAGGTGATAAATTATGTTATTCTAGTAGGCTGCCTAAAGTTACATTTTTATTTGCAATATTAATAATTCATGAAATAAAAAAAAAAAGATACTCGGCGTTCGTGTATTGATCATATGCTGTGTCGACCCCGCCCAACCCTTGTGTTGGAAACAAAATGCCAAGTACGATCGCATGAGGCATTTATTTTGAAATCGCTAACCGGAAGTAGTGTGTTTGCGCACGTGCAGGCTCGACGATGCTGCGGCTTTAATAAGAGCCCGATGGTGCAAGTGAAGAGTTGAGAGCTGCAGCAGTGTGAAGGCTCAGAGCTCCTCTTGTCACTGTTCCGTATCATATATATGTATCAGCTGTCAGTCAAACACCTCGGTGACAAACTGTCTCTGAGAGTGTAACACACTTTATCCGTGCACGTGACACATTAACCACGGTTATTGTGCTCTGTCAGAACTTTGTCTGTCCGGTCATCAGTCTGAAGTCGGTCCAACATCTCCGCCGCCGTTAAGATGCCTTTCATCGAGCACGTCTCGGACGCGGACCTGGAGTGTTTGGCGCTGGAGCGGATCGTCCCGGCGCTGCTGGCGCAAGGCTTCTGCTACGTGGACGGTGTCCTCGGGGAGCTGGCCGGCGGCGTCGTGCTGGAGCAGGTGAAGGACATGCACCGCTCCGGAGCGCTGCAGGACGGCAAGCTGGCCGGCTCCGCCCGGGGCGTCCACCAGAGGAGAATCCGCGGGGATAAGATCGCCTGGGTGAGCGGGGCCGAGCGCGGCTGCGAGGCGATCAACTTCCTGCTCAACCTCATCGATAAACTCATCTCCGTGTGCGCGAGCCGGCTCGGGTGCAAGAAGATCCGGGAGAGGTCCAAGGTAAGAGACCGAGGCCTGGTTCAAGTTCAGGGCTGGAAGACAGGAAACCAAAATATACATCTGTTTATTAAAAGAGCAGCAATGTTATAAAGTAGCGTCATGGCGCATAAAGTTGATTAAACATATTTTACGCACTGAATTTTTTATTAATCTGTCAACTAAAAGAAGGATAAGACAGTGTAATGATTGTTTGTTCATACAGCCGTGAACACATTACATGGACTGAGAGTAAAAATATAAATTAATAAATCAAATTAAGCCTCAAATATAAATAAATATAAATGCACAATGCAGATTAGTGCAACTTTGTGGTCTGCTGCACGAATATGAATTATTTTGTCCCACTGTGATGGATCCACCCAGCAACATGTGGTTCACTACTTTAATTTATATTTGTTTTTTATAAATAATTAAAAACAGAAAAATGCACATTTTTATTGTAAATGTACCTCATGTGCTAGAGTTGCAACAGGTAATCATTTAAATCAGTTAATCAAATGGCAAACATTTCATTTGCAAGTATTTTGATAATTAAATAATCATTTTAGTCATATTTAAATTAAAAAAAATCCAAATATTTTGAGTTTTTCTGCGTCTCAAAAGTGAGAATTTGATGTTTTTCTTTGTCAAACATGATGATGAACTGAACTGTTGGTGGGTTAAAACAGTTGAAGACTTTGTCACTTGGTCATGTTTCACTATTTCCTGACATTTTATTGCCAAAACAATCAGAGTAAATAAAGTCGCAGCTCATCACGTCTCCACAGAGTGATCCCACTGGACTTGATGTTCTTACAAACCCATGTCACTTATGTACATGGCCTTTAAAATGTAAAGGTGGTTTCTACGTGCAATAAGGGGTTAATATACCTTTAGTGTGGGTTTGACTTATGAGTCAGCGTCAGGATTTCTCCCGCTGATGTCACCACCACGCCACCAGACGTCTGCATTGTACGTGATGGAGTCATGTTCTGCTTTGATTAAATTCCCCCCTGTGTTTGCACGCTGTCATTTAATCTGTGATTTAGAGCGACGGTGGGATGGTTGACCTCAGCAGAGCGCTGACGTGCAGTCGCTGTTTATATGTGTTCACTAATTCACTGTGACAGCGAGCTGTGATCAGCTGGTTTGCAGGGCGGGCGGGACGCAGATTTCTATAAAGGTCCAGGAGGAAATATTGGCAGACAGTGAACATGATATAACAAGTGAGTTTCTTTAGTGTGTAATCACCTGAAAATGAGATTTGTCATGTTTTTGTTGCCTTAGAGTGAGTTGTTTACATCTCCATAATGAGCAGGTCCTCCTGTACGGAGTCCACCATGATCACTGATATGTTTCTACAGTGGCCCAGAAAGGACAACCCAAACACTGACTCCAGTTAGAGGCCCTGTCACTGATTCTTTTATAACCTTTAAGTGCTTAATTGCATTCTGCTTTCACTGGTTTAAATCACCAGGTTTGTTTTGATGATGAGGAGGAGGCCTCTGCAGATAATTCACCTGGATTAGAACTAAGGCGAGCTCACGTTAAGATATCAGAGAAAACAGGTGAGCACATTCATGGGCGCAGGGCGATCGGCCAGTCAGTGACATGCCACACAGCATCGGATAAACGCGGATTTGTAACGTGAAACTACTTTAGTCAGTGTTTTCTGTGGTGTAAATCGGCTGGTCTGGTCATGTTGGAGAGGAAGAGATCTCTGAGTATCATCTGGCTCCTGGTGAAAACCTCCTGATCAATGAACACTGGAGGAATTCTGAGGAAGATCAGTTTCAGCTGGATGCAATCTGCACTCCTCACCTCACCTAATCCCCCTGAAGTCACACACATTGTTCCTTTTACACTGCTTGTTGTCAACGTTGGATTTCCCTCCATTTTAGGAGCTCTGGTTAAGTTTTACCACCACTGTGTGAAGTTAGAGGTTGTCTTTGGCTTCACCAGCGTAGACGAACTCTGTTTAGGCCGTGCAGTAATACTGAGGTCACATTCTGGGCTGCAGGTGATATCAGATACAGGAGATGCTTCTCATTTGAGGGTGTGGTGGTAATTTGGATTAGACAAAACACATGAGTCAGAAACTCGTCTCTCTGTGAGTTTATTTCAGGATCTGCAGACGGACTCACAACAAACTGTCAGGAATGAGCCGAGTGCAGAGAGTGGAAGAATGCAAGGTTACCTCACAGTGTTTCTGCTTCGTGGCCTCAAAGTTTCCATTAGATAAGTGTTGAAAGTTGCACAGATTTTATATGATTTACCTTTAAATTATGTGAATAATATCCATTACAATGGCTCCACAGTTTGTTCAGTTTGGACTGTTGTGTTGCTCGACTGAAACACCCCAAAATCAGGTCAGTTTTCTGGCTGAATTCGGGTCAGTCTGGGTCACAGCGCCACGCCAACCGGAGCTGTTTTGTCTCATACATGTCAAAATGGCCGCGGGGTCATCGGAGAGTCCCTTCGTGTTTGTTCCCTTTTTAGTGTCTAGGCTCTTTTGGCAGCCGTCCAGCGACCCCTCTGGGCCCCGAGCCAAGGCTCCAGGAACCAGAGCACGCTCCGGGGAGGACAGGAAATGTAGTGGACCAGTTCACATCCACTGGGTGTCCTCTGCTGCTGCGTGCTGATTAATCACACAGGCAGGCGTGTTGATGGCGTGTAGACTCGGGCTGAATGCCGGGAATTTAGGTCTGAGTACTTACCAGGAATACGTATTAAAAATGTGCTCCTTTTTTCTGGGAAACAGATGTGAGATTTTTAGAATACGAAAACAGCCACGCTACAAATGATGATCTCATAGAACATGATGCATCGCTGTAAACAAACACTGACAGTATGGAACAGTTTACTGTACTTTAAGTACATTATGCTGATGTCTACTTTTATTTAAGTGAAGTTAACTTGTAATGGAGTATTGTCTCAGTGTGGGTTTAGTACTGTGACTACAGTAAAGGATCTGAATACATCTTCCACAGCTGCAGATGTAGCAGTGGACATTCTCACGTACGCCCTCGTCCACTTACTCAATTATTCACTCCCTCACTCCACATACACTCGCATACACACACCAACACGCACACAGATTTACATCTCACACACACACACACACACACACACACACACACACGTTTCCAGTGTTTCCGCCCTGTCTTCACGTGCAGCAGCGTACAGTGCGCCCGTATCGTAAGTGTTTGTGCATGCATGTTATCAGATTTAACTTCTTAAGAAAACAGGTCAACCCCGTTACAATGGGACTACACACACACACACACACACACACACACACACACACACACACACACACACAGAGATGGTGCAGGAGAATAAACAACAAAGATAAGCAGGATAAGAAGTTTTTTCTTCGTACAGTAAAAACTTGAAGTGAATATAAAGTTTAATCCCCAGCAGCAGAACAGGTCGGCCATGTTGCCTTCAGCCTGCGTTCATTTTGGCAGCTGTTTAGCTATTTTAGATTCATTTTTTTTCTTTGCACGCTGAGTCTATTTTTTCAGATTTGTTTTTTTAATCCATCATGTGAAAAAAAATCCTTACACACAGAAACCTTGCACACTGATGCCGATGTGTTTTATTGTTCTACTCGGAGCATAAGTCCGCAGTACGTGACAAAATAAAAAGACACATTTCCTCCTTTGCCTCTCTCCTCTGGAGTTACCCGTCTGACTGTCATCACTTCCTCCCTGTCTGTTATTTGGCACCACAGCTGCATGAAGGGGTGTGGCTGTCCTCCACATTCTGTGTGCGGTCCACATCTTCCTCCTCTTCATCATCATCCACCTGAATATCACTGTCTGACCTGTTGAACGTAGCTGTCAACAAACGTTGAGGACTCAGTTTTCTGACTTATTTTTCAATGTGCAACAGTTTCAGACAAAAAAAGGACTCCGTGTGCAGAGGCCTTGGTTATGGTTGCTTAGCAACCAGTACCGTATCACAGCCTACCTAATGTAATCCTGAGTGCAGAGCTGATTGTCTTCCAGGTATTTTTTTTAAGTGTTTAGGCTTAAAACATTGTCCATGAGACAGATGTAAAGCCTTGTGCTAAAATGATCAACCTATTTGTCACAGACTGATATTAACGGATGAAGGGAAAGATATCTGTTGGGTTTGATTGGTTCTTGGTTCCCCATCACATGACATGTGGTGCAAGCTGCTGCTTTCCAAAAGTTGAACCTTTGCGATGAAGCCATCGCAGCCTAAAAAGTAGGTGTTCGAGAATGCGTGTGCGTTGCAGCAGTGTCACAAGTTTGTGCACGTCTGCAGTGTGTCTACAACAAACAATGGATCTGAGGACGCAAGAATATGCAGCTCTTCAGGGATGATTTACTGATCATCATTTGAAAAGCTCAACATCTCTGTATTTATGCTCTCAACAAATAACTAATGTGAGCCAACTAGGATTTGTCCCCAGGTTCATTGTAAACTCTGACTTATCCGTGTGACTGTTAAGAAGCAGAAACATAACTTGTTTCTTCATGTGCAACATGTTAGTCTGGAGGTTTAAACTGGTGTCCTCTCACAGAGTTGGTGATTCAAACTAAACTTTCATCTCTGTCAGAGAAAACTGATCTGATTTCAGACTGTTTACTTACAGCACAGCTACACTCACAGATAACTGAGCCTCCTACCTGCCTGTCAAACACCATCAACCCACAAACCTTCCTGAGACAGTCCGGACTGAGTGGAGTCCTGCGGGGATCAACAGATGTAAAGACCTGGCTGTGCTGCTACTGAGCTATAAGTCGTGTTCTGTCACTCAATCAGTCAGACTTTATTTGTAGAACAAAAACACAAAGTGATTCATTCAGTAAAACAATCCCTTCCCTGCAGATGCAGCAGTGAACATTCTCACGTACACACTCAGCCTTTTATTCGGTTATTCACTCCCTCACTCCTCAGCACGTACTTAAACACACACACGGATCAAAAGCAGTGACTGATCCCTCAGGCGTTTGAGCATGCCTGTCACGCATCATGTCATGACTTTG